TTCCGCGTATCTGAGGCGGAGTACCGTACCCCGTACTTTGAGAGGGTATGACCCTAACCTTAGTTTCCCTACTTAATATTATGGGTTCCCTTGGAGAACATGCCACGTCAATCCAGACACTAAAGGTGTCCTAAAAACGGCTCTTTTAGAAGAATGGTCAAAGATACTTCAGGACCTTACACTGGTTTTAAGCTTACAACGTCAGTGCTAGGCTGCCATTGTTGTTCGTGGTGGCTGTTGAAGTAGAATGCCATGAACTACAACGATATAAAGTAACATGTCCGTTTAGGAGAGCGAAATTAATAACCAATTATTTGTATTTCACATCACTAAACGGATCAACAGATGTCTAATCTTATTTTTTTGCAATGAAATGAGGAATGTGATTAACATTACCCTGTGAATTGGTTTTAGGTCTACATAGCTAAATAATGATTTAACTTCCAATTATCGTTTAATTGTTTTCTATACTGTAAAAAACTACACTACTCTAATGTTAGTGTATCAGCTTGTAGAATTATCAATGACATAGTAAAATTTACAGTGTTGAACGTTTCGTACGTGGTCATTTAAATTTCAGGGTCACAGGATGTAAATTTTCTATACAATGTTAAGTGTTGGAATACATATGGCGTTGTCAGAATGTTTAGTTATGTGAATAATTCGGAAGAGTTAATCAGTTCATTAGCGTGTTAAATGAGTTGTTAGTTAACCTGTTTGTTGCATGGTGGATGTGTTTATGTATGGCCACATAGTATTTAATTAATAACAACTTCCGATCAGAGCAAGCCACCTACTTCGAACGAAACTAAAAATCAACCTGGTGATCAGTATAGCTAATTAAGTATACTTTTCTTTAGAGTTTACTTGTAAAGATTATAATGCATCGTTTCATCCGTTTGGTACAATCGCTATTAACTATATTTTCGGCCATGATCCCAATAATATCTTACGAGTTTCGGCTAGCTTAGGAGATTTAGGTTAGCCCTAAATAGAAATATTAAACTAACAATTTAGAAAAATCCAATAGCAAAAATTTAATAATAAAAATTAATTAGAAGTAACATTAAATATAGTTTACAGTCTAACCAATGGTGTTAATGAAAGTAATGATAAAGAAATAATATTAGTATAACTTATTTAGGGAATACAGAAACTCTAGCTATTGACTTGAACTACTGTCGTAGAATTAATTTCCTTTGAAAAGCGAAATATCAGTATAAATTCCATGTATCTCCCTTACACGTCTTTTAACCATTGTAAACCCATTAAGCAACTCCGACAGTGTAACTTTAGAGGAACGTGCACATGTGACAAATTTACTACGACCCGTTACTTTTTAGACTGTGTCGACTCAAGTGGTAGCAATTTACCAATAGTACAACCAAAAACTAATGTTTATGAAGATAAAAAAATAAGAAATTTAAACATAAATACTTGAATTAACCATGAAAACGTAAAACATGTTAATTATTAAACAAAGAAGACAATATGCTAAATATACTTTAAGGTTTGCGCCTAACACTACCGTTCTCACTTTAACCTCCGTTACCTAACAAATTCACAGAGAGGACAATAAAAAGTAGTAGATACATTTTGTGTAAAAACTGAAAAGGAAACACGATAAGTCTAAAAGGTTCAATAATAATAATAATAAGACTTAAAAAGGAAAGGTACAACACATGACAAAGAAAGCAATTGTTCAAAAATAATATTATAACTGTTTAAATTGGGTTTACACACGAGTAGCAATGATTATCTACAAGCATTACTTAATTATAAGAACTATGAGAAAGTAAAGAAAAATGTAATATGTCTACCCAGGGCCGGATTAAGGTATGTGGAGGAATCAGGAGCGCTAAGAAATAGAAAATTCCTCTTCACCCCCTCGTGGATTAAGAAAGATAATGAGAAGACTTTCTGAAGAAAAATATCAACTTGTTTATCTCCTCTCCATTTAGATAATAGCTAGAAAAGCCCAAACAGCCGCCCAATCTTCTTGCTGTTTAAATAACTTATTGATTTTCTTTGATATAAACATGGCAATGGTCGAGACCCTTTATATCGTTAATTACTTGAACTGTTACTGTGTAAACTAGCTTAAGTTGGTGAAGTGTTAATTTTAAAATATATTTAAGTCAAATTATTTATTATAGGGCGATATGCCCGGCATGGCCAGGTGGTAAGGGCGCACGGCTCGCAATCTGAGGGTTGCAGGTTCAAAAATCTCCGTCCCACTAAACATGCTTGCCCTTTCAGTCGTGGGGCATTATAATGTGATGGTCAATCCCACTTTGTGTTGGTAAAAGAGTAGCCCAATAGTTGGCGGTGGGTGGTGATGACTAGCTGCCTCCCCTCTAGTCTTTCACTGCTAAATTAGGAACGGCTAGCGCAGAAAGCCTTCGTGTACTTTTACGCGAAATTCAAAAACAAAACAAATAATACAGGGCGATATAAAGTTACCAAAGAACAACGTTACGTCATGGGATCGTATTTCCCGCTTTGCTAGATATAAATTGTGATGGGCTTTACGATCTTATCGACCATTTAAAACGCAACACCAATAATTAGCCAGAACAATACGACGTTAAAAAATGTTCTATAACGTCTTTACTTTATTTCCAGATCTCCGCGAGATCCGAGCCAGAAGATTATCAAGAGAGTTGTTGCATTAGAAGGAGATGTCATAAGGTGGGAACTGTTTTTAATGATTCACTGTACTAGCTATATCGTATATTAGACGAAAATATCATGCTTGGCCCTTATGATTAGTTAATGTTTAGCTATAAACTTTTTATTTAGTTTGATGTTTATATAAGAGGTTGAGTTTTATTATTATGTAAATATCTACAGTTTTGTCAGCCTACAAAAATAGGAAGTTTAGTTAAGGACCTAAACGCTCTTACACATTCAAAACATTTTTTATTGGCGTAACCAGCATTATTGATCGTGTGTATAAAAAGTAAATGCGTATGTGAATTAAAGCTTGACAACGTTTCTAAAAAAAAGTTAGTAAATCCTTTATATTTTTCCATGTTACGACTCAGTTTTTTATTGTTTTTTTTTAATATATATTAACCCTCAAATTACGTAGTTATTTTTCCATCTTCCGCTACCGTCTTATTGAGTAATTTTGTTTCAACCTATTACGACACTCGATAGAACAACTGACAAAAACAAATCGTAATGAAATCACTCATTTTGAATGTAAAATACTCTACGGTCCTTATTTTATTACAAGTTACAGGTTTTACAGTAGGGAAGAGTATTTTTAAAACAGATACGACGTTTCGATCACTGGTGCAATCATTCTCAAGTACACAACTGTTAACGGTAAAGAAGATTTTGGTATTTAAATGAACAACAATGTATTTAAATTGTATAATTGATAGTGGTTACTTATGCATGTGCATACGAGTCCGCGTGAACTTACAGGTTATTTATTTATGGCTGAATAGAAGAAAAAGAAACAGAAGGAATAAATTTGAAAATTTGGAAATATTGTACGAAATATTTGCATAAGATTAGGAATGTCTGTGGAAATAACGATCAAAGTCACATAGAGACGTGCATGAGTATTTGTTAACTGTAGGATTGTTTGATTTTATTAATAATGCCACTCTCAGAAAAAAATTATATATAGTATTTTCTTCTTCTCAAACGGAACCAATTATATAGGAGCAAGATTTATTCTGTATTCTACACTGAGTGGTCACAAGTAAATATACAACTAATTTTTCGTCATTTAACTGATTTATACTAACTAATTTGTGTTCACAGAGCACAATATAAATGAAAATGGTCCGCACACTAATTATCTTGTGCTACA